ATCCCAAACGAACCCTACATATGATAAATTATACTGACTTTTTTAAAATTTTAACAAAGTATAATATATCTCATAATTTTAACATAATTATATTAATATTTCTTTTAGTAAAATTAAGTGAATTGAAATTAATGTAAATGATATAAAAATACAAAAAATAAGTAAGGTAAAATATACATTTGCAATATATAAGGTATGACGTTATTATTTATCTATATGATTAATAAATTTATGATAAAAATGAAACTAGTGTTACACGAATTAAAATCTTAAAAAAATTCAATGTAATTATGTAAAATTATAGGATTTATTTTAATTCATCCAAACACCAATATTTATTGTATATTTCTCAAATTTAAAGCGAGGGCGGTGACTTACCCAAATAAAAATGAATATTTGGGCCATAAATTTAATTTTGAAACTTTTGGAGCAATAGCCCTAAACTCATATTTTGAGAACATAAGAGCATCTCCAATGATTGTTGTTAGAGCATCTCCAATGGTTGTTGCTATAATACCATTGCTATTGCTATAATTTGGGAATAAATAGTACTATTTTGTCAAATTATAACAATAGTGCTCTAATGGTCACTTGCTATTTTGGCAATTCTTAACCAACTTTCCTTTCAAGTTTGTAGGTGTTGTCTGGATATAGGTTTTTTTGTAATTTTATTTTTGTTTATTTTTTTGTCTTTTATGACCTTTTTTTAACTATTTGCAAAAAAGATTATATATTTTTATTATTCCCGACTAGACAAATATAAAAAATTAAAAAATTATAATTTTTTTTTGCTGATGTGGCATGTTTGACAGTTGTTATTCTACTGTTTCAATTCTGTTTTTTCAACTGAATTTAGAGTCACAAATCTGTTCATATTTGCTGATGTGGCATGTTTGGCAGTTGCTATTCTACTTGCCAAATTTGAGAACAGAAATAACATATGTCATCTTTGGCAAGTAGAATAGCAAGCCATTGGAGACCCACCTTTTGTCATTAGTTCCAAATTATAGCTTTGGCAAGTATTTTGAGAGCTCCATTGGAGATACTCTTATAATGTCATTCTTATTGTTATAATTTGACAATGAATAGTGTAATTTTACCAAATTATAGCAATGGAACTCGAATGGTCATTTGTTATTTTGGCAAATCTCAACCAACTTTTCTTCCAAGTTTGTAGGTATTGTTTGGATATAGGTTTTTTGTAATTTTATTTTTGTTTATTTTTTGTCTTTTGTGACCTTTTTTTAACTATTTGTAAAAAGGTTTAGGAGTCCAATTAGGCAAATCTCCTATGATCTCTTCAAGCCTTTCAAGCCAATTCTCTAGAACAATTCCACTCTCTCACTTCCTCTCTCTCTAGTTCGGTGGTGTGCTCAAAATATGGCTGAAGAAATGTTTTGATAAAGCATACACAAGGCTCAAATATGAGTAAACAAAGGCCTCACTAGATGGCAAAAGTGTAATTACGTCAAACTCTTTAATTGGCTTATTTTAATCTAATTTCATCATACCTAATCGGTTTTCAGATAATTATACCATAAAATTACATTAATTATGAGGATCATAAAACACTGACCAATTCCGGATTCGGCCGCCGATAAGGCCTTCAATTAGCAGTTTAAACATATAAGCATGAACAGATAATCATACAGTCAAACAGATAGAATGCAATTCAAACAGATATATTCATTTAATTCAGTTTAAAGTTCGGTCAGTCAGTTCAGTACTTTAATCAGTTCAATTATCAGTCAGTTATCAGTCATTATCAGTTCCGTTTAGCAGTAATCGGTGATTATCGGTAATCAATCAGTCATTAATCAGTAAACAGCATGAGGGTTGTTACAACCTTTTACCTTTTGCAGAGACACTGCCCTCACCAACAGTTGGATTGTTACCAACACTTGGATTAGTGTCATCTTCAAGAGAAATGCAGTTATCCATAGAGGAATCAGTGGCTGAATTAGGGGAAAACGACGTATGTATCATTGACTTCATCGTGTTCGTAGGAGTTACATCGTGCCACCTGATATTGTTTTGCAAGATTTGCCAACAATGTTCAAAAGTAAAATGTTTGTTTTCATTTTGATGGTATAACAGCTTTGCTTGAAGCATCTATATCAATAAAATATTAAATTAATTAATTAGTTAATTTTTATATAAGATAAAATAAAAAAACAAACATAATAAATGAAAATTAAATCTTACTATATCAACTTGTGACGCCCCACTTGAATATAGATTTTCGACTTGCGCTAGACACCCACGAAATTTGTTGTAACATTTAATGATTACATCCCATCGAGATAAGATAGACATCTGTGTTTTTTAGTGATCATTCTGTAGCGAGCAATAATTTTCAAATATTCTTTCCCAAAAATGAGCATGCGATTGCGAATTTCCAACAATTGAGTCTTCAGTAATGTGACACAAAGCTCTACAAATTTTTACATCTTCTTGAGTAGTGAATGATTTTCCTCTCTTTGTTTTTGATGAACCTTCTATAGTGATTGGCCAAAAAAACTTAAAGCAAAATATTTTTGAAAGTTTGTTGTCAAATGTAATTGAGATAAAGAGAGGAGAAAAGAAATATAAAATTTGAAATATGTGCTGTGAAATGAAATTGAGATTGAGGTTTCTATTTATAGAAATGCAAAATATGACCGTTTGGGAAAAAATATGATCGTTAATTTATAGTTTTTTTTTTTTAACAGGAAAAAAGAGCACGACGGCTCTTTTGTCTTCCCAAGATAGATCACCACCGTCCGGGCAAATGATTTCCAACGGTTGAGATGAATATCCAAAATCATCCAACCCTTTTCCTTTTCCTCTCCCTCTCACTCTCACTCTCACTTTGTCTCTATATGTCTTCTCTCTCTTCGATCGACTATCCAATCCATTTCCTCTCTCTTACTCTCACTCCTCTCTCTTTCTCACTCTTACTCCTACAATGGAAGAAACGATCACCCTCACTGCCTTTTTGGTCTCTGTTCTACCTCTCCCTCGCTATCATTGTATCTCTTTGATCGGCGACGGTACATGATCGAAGAAACGATCGGTGACCGTCTACCTTCCACCCCTCTGTCCCTTTCACTCATCTCTGCCCCTCTCTCTCTCAGCCTTAGAATGAAAAGAGACGATCACCAGATCTACCTTTCTTTCACTGTCACTCTATCTCTCATTTCTCTGTCTTCGATCAGTGACGGTATATGCTCAAAAAGACAATCAGTGACCATCTACCCCTCACCCCTCTCTCTCTCATACTTTTCTCTGTTTCTCTCAGTCTTATAATGGAAGACACGATCACCAGATCTATATCTTCCTCACTATCATTCTATCTCTCATATCTCTATCTTCGATCGATGACAGTACAAGATTGAAGAGATGATTAGCGACCAGATCTACTTTGAACTACCAAAACCAAGTATTTCTTATTTTCAGTTTTGTTCATATTTTCAGTTATGAAATTGCTTGTTGAGCTCATTATGAAATTGTTGATTTTTTTTGTTGAATTTATTTGAATTTGATAAATTTGTTTAAACGTGTTGAATTTGTTGCATTTGTTTGAATTTGTTGATTTTGGGTAAATTTTAAAAAAATATATATTCAAAATTTTTTTGGGTGAGTTTTGAAACATAAAAATGGTGAAACAGTTACTGGAGGAAGGAAGGAAAGGAAGGACGGAAACAGTTGATTTTGGTTTAGTTGGCACAAATGACACTCAAATTTGGCAGCTGCTATATTTTGCCATTAGAGCATCAAAATTCAACAAAGCTGCTATATTATAGCAATGGTAGTTCTAATAACAAACCATTGGAGATGCTCTAACTAGGGCCGGTCTTGAGATATTTATGACCCAAAATGAACTTTTAAAAATTAGACCATTTACAGACAATTGAAAAAAAGAAGTATTTGTATAAAATGATAAGTACTTATAATTTTTTTATTTACTAATATCCACATAAATTATATTTGTATATATTCACTAAAACTATGTATTAAATTTATTTACATAAATCAAGATATGAAACAATATTAGAAAGATTTAAAAAAAAAATGGTCTTATTGCTTTATAATTTAAAACAAAAGAAAAAAATATTAAGGCCAAGTTTGAGAAGACTAAATAAGTGCACTTTTTAACTTTTTATGAAATATGGGTTGGATTTGGGTTGGGTTTGAAGTGACGTGTTAGAGAGGTGATGTAACTTAAATAAGATGATATGACTTAAATAGGATAGTGACTTTTTGACTTTTTAAATTTTTTTGAGGATGCCAAACTTGACCTAAATAGATTGAATTGATATTGGAATAATTCTAACATAAATCTAAAATAATGTGACACGATACCACCCTTAATTGAGGGCCCTTAAATTTTGTTCAATTTTGGGCTTGAAAGAGGCTTTGGTCGCTTCACCTCAAGACCACCCTGACTAACGATCAAGGACAATAATAATTGAAAATACCATACTACTCCTATACCTATATATTTATTAGAGAAAAGTTAGGGATCATGAAATTTTTTTTATGAAAATGATCATGAAAGAATTATGACCATTAGATTATCTTGATTAGTGTATGGTGCTTTATTCTAAGTGTAATTCAAAGGTCACAAAACTTTTATGATTATTTTCATGAAAGATTTTTCATGATACCTAACATTACTGTATTTATTATTTGTCCACGTAATTTACCTATCACCACCATCTCTGTCAACTATTAATAATGATTTTTCCGACAGTGATCTAATATGAGTGGATAAAACTGAAAAAAATAATTTTTTAAAACAATAATTTACTTTTTCTCATTAAACAATTTCATTAATCATATATTTACAATCAAAATAAAATAATTCTTAAACCTTCATTATCTGGCACGTATCAATCCCATGCATGCATGGCATACCACAGTGAAATCAAACCATATAATAACAAAATAATAGTACCAACTATAATAACAACCATCTAAAGAAATAAAAACTATAGTTTAAAATGAAGGAAACAATATTAATATGGTTGATCATGTCTCTCTCTCTCTCTCTACAATCTTCGAATGGAACTGGGCGTCGCCTCTTCCATTTTTAACTGAAACCCAAAAAACCAACCATTCGGGAAATTCATTCCGCTTCTGCTCCGAGTCGACTCACCTACTCGCCCCTTTTTCCCTCCATTTTCTCTCACTTTCCTTTCGATTCAACCCTTTTCTTTGCTCATATGTGTTCAATTATCGGATTTTGATTAGTCATTGCTGAGTTTTCATTTTTCAAAATTAGGGTTTGTATATCGTCACCAACATTGGTTTTGCATATAAATTCTGATTAATTTAGTTGATCGATTCGTTATTTTTATCATTTATTGGATTAGCTGGAGATTTTGTTGGTGTATATAGTCCCAGATTTATGTTCACCCCGTTTTTCCTTTGAATTTATCGAAAAAGAGCTTAAATTTCTGAGACCTTGTTCGAATAGAATTCTTTGATTGTTCAATAAGATTGTACGTTTTGGTACTTTTGAATTATTGAGTTTGAATATTTGGGAAAGAATTTTGGGCAAAATGTGGCTTTGTTGGATGATCTGATCAGGGAGATTGAATTCGGAACAGGGTGATTATTGTTAATGGGATTAATAGAGATTGATTTGAATATTTGAATTCAAGGGGGATAGGATTTCTGAGATTGGTATTTGATGGGGAACAATTGTGTTGGACCCAATTTGGGCAAAAATGGGTTCTTGCAGTCTGTTACAGCGGCAGTTTGGAAAACCCGGCAACCAGATAACACTCTTCCTCCTCCTAATAAAGATGCCAGCACCAACAACAATGAGGCAAAAAAATCGGAGAAAATTTCAGATTCAGCTTCTGCCTCCTCTAAAGGAGGAGGAGGAGGAGGAGGAGGAGGAGGAGATGGGTCTGAGCCTCTGGTTCGTGTGCAAAGCACGCCACCAGAACCGGTTAAAATAGCTGGGGACGAGCCCAAAAGTGTTGACAACATGAAGTCTATCAAGCGGGAGATAACGATTACAAGAGGGGAGGGGAGTAAGAAGGCAATGCCAAGCCATTTTAAGCGAATGTCAAGTGTGGGACTTCAAGTTGAGTCTGTGTTGCAGAGGAAAACGGGTAATTTGAAGGAGGTTTATAGTCTTGGGAGGAAGCTTGGGCAAGGGCAATTTGGGACAACGTTTCTTTGTGTGGAGAAGGCAACTGGGAAGGAGTTTGCTTGCAAATCCATTGCAAAGAGGAAGTTGACGACCGAAGAGGATGTGGAGGATGTTAGGAGGGAGATTCAGATAATGCACCATTTGGCAGGGCACCCGAATGTGATATCTATTGTGGGTGCTTATGAGGATGCGATTGCTGTTCATGTTGTTATGGAGCTTTGTGCAGGCGGGGAGCTTTTTGATAGGATAATACAGAGGGGACACTATACGGAGAGAAAAGCAGCTGAGCTTGCAAGGATAATAGTTGGTGTGGTTGAAGCATGCCATTCTTTAGGAGTGATGCACCGGGACTTGAAGCCTGAGAATTTTCTCTTTGTTAACCAGGAAGAGGAGGCACCTCTTAAAACAATCGACTTTGGGCTCTCAGTGTTCTTCAGGCCAGGTATAATTCTTTCAGTGTTTTTTTTTTGTTGGATTTAAGTGATCTAAGGGATGAAGCTCCAGAATGGTTAGAATTTGGAAATTTCGCCTGGAAACACTCTTGGATTGTGTCAGAAATCTGATTTTAGTTATGCACTGAGTTTGACGCTGAGCGGTTTGATTGATAAGTCCATTAGTGATAGTAATATCTGGATGAGTAATTCTTCACTATATTGGTTTATCTATAAGCTTCTTATTCATCCTTGGATCACTGAAATGTTAAACTCTCTTGGTTTCGTACTTGAGACTTGGATCCATAGGAGGAGTAGCTGTTTGAATGTCTGGTACCTAACATTCCTCTGACTTTTAAATGATAGAAACTCACTAACTCTATTTAAGGCAATCAGTTTGATTCTTTATACTCACATTTAATACAAGTAAAAGATGATTACTGTTACAGTCTCATTGAAATGCTAGGAGCTAGTCTGGTCTCTACAACAATACCATCTGTCATGACCCCATCTCCGCCAGGAATGGATGCCATGACTGGCAGTAGCTGTAGTACCAAAGGGCTCTTTAAACACGAGTGAGATGTGATATTGTGAAATTTAGATTTACATCTCACAACAGAAGCTTACAATTGTGCAAGGGCATCAGAGTATGTGCCCGGGTATCATCAACCCATACATGAGAGTCTACACTCACAAATATAACATATTCAAGCATCCGACCCCATTTCTTGGCCTTCCATTTATCTTCCATAGGTGCTCCTCCTACTATTTGATGAATATATTCATTTCTAATTCTCTCTTTTCTAGTCTTACCATACATCCGTCTAAGCATTCTCATTTCTACTGCACTCATTTGATTGATATAGGTGTGTTTCTTAGTGGTCCAACACTGTTTTGTAGAGCATCACTGCTCTTAAATCTGTTCTACAAAATTTTCCTGTCAAATTTATTGGTATATTCATCGATCACATAATATGTCAGAAGCACTCCTTCATTTGAGCCAACCTACTTTAATTCTATGAATCACATCAAACTCAACCTTATAATCCTCTTATTAATAAGCAAACCTAAGTAACAAAAATGTTCACTATTTGTTATCTTTTGGTTTTCAATCTTCATTTCTCTATTATTTCCACTTCGATTGATTTTAAAATTACATTCTTTATATTCAATTTTATTCTTACTAATTTTAAATCCTTTTGATTTGAGCGCTCGTTTCCAGATTTCTAATTTAGTTTAATTCCTTCCTTAGTTTCATCTACTAGAATAAAATTAAGGCAATTGATACCTAACAATTTTTTATGAGGTTAGTTTTGTGGCGAGATCATTATGGTGATGCAGGAAAATTTTTTGGGTTACCCAACTAAGGTTACCCATTTGGGTCTTAGGTGAATTTATTAGCTTCTTCTTAGGCTTGGATTTGCTTCACTTTCACTTCCAATGCTTAGGCTCTGTTATGGAGGAGAGGAAACCAATGTTACCCGAAAATGCTAATATCCTAGCGATTTACGTTTTTCATTCCAAAACAGTGAATTTTTTATCTAAAGCAATCCCAAATTTTTTTCTTGAAGTTTCCCGTAGGAGGAAATTTAAAAAAGAAAAAGAAAAAGCCATAATACTCCTAGAAATGTATTTTTACATGATTAATTTGAAAACAAAATAGACTATATTGTATTGGTTGTTTAATTGTTCATAGAAAGCTGATTTAAAAATACCTTAATTTTTAGTAGTGTAATAATCTATACAAGTATACTCCTATCATATCACATTTTAGAGCATGTGCCGTATGACTCGTATCATGTTCCTATTCCATGTACTGGATCCAGGTAGTATAGGGGGAAACCAATGTTAAGTTGGTGACATTAAAAGCCTTAGCAACTAGTGTTTCTCGTTGATAATGCATGCTTGGCAAATGTTTTTTTGGGCAGTTTTTTTTTTGATGGCCAGAAAGCCAATAAGCACTTAATTTTTTTCCAAGGTTTTTCTACCATTTTATGGTAAGAAAGTCAAGAAGGAGTTTGTCAAATGCTATTAACTTTAAGATGCACAAAAGCAAAAATTTGCTAAAAAAAATAAAAAATAAAAAGCAACTTTTTATTTTATTTTATTTGAGTACCAAATGCATCACTTTTTTAGTCACACCTTTTCAGTCAACAAGACAAAAGGCAAAAAAGCCAATTAAACTTGACTTAGGGTTATATATTTGTTTTGGATTGTCAGCAATGAGAAGCAAATGTGACCTGACTCATTGCCCACTCCTAATTGCAATTTTGACCATCACCTATCTAAGCTTTAAAATTGTTTTCTTTGTTTGTACGCTTCATTTGGCCTTGGCAACATGGATATTTGTTTTCAACTGTTTGCTTGCCAAAAAAAACATGATTATTTTTTGCAATATATCATAATGCACTTAAGCAATTTTTGTCAAGATTGATTTCCTTGTTGAATATGTTATGGATAAATATTAAAAGGTTCCTCTCTCAAATAACTTGATTTTTAGATGAGTTGGTTGGTGGTCAACAATTCAATATGGTATCACAGCAGGCAACAAATCTTGTGTTTGAACATTACTGCCTACCCCATAATTATAATACTTGCATGTGTTTGACCCGCTTTATGGATGAGAGCCTGGCGAGACGTGAGAGGGCATGTTGAGGATATAAATAATGAAGTTACTGATCTCTCTTACAACTTAAGTTTTTAGATGAGATGGTGGTCAAGAATTTAACAGAATAACATTCATTCAATTGATCTATAATGACTAGAAGGTTAGATATTTTTACATTTTATCATAATAGATTTCATTTGTTGACTACGTTCATGACCAAAGGATATGTGTATTTTTCACAGGCTTACTATATCTTAATATTCATTTTTGGCTAAGCTGTTGCATGTGTGTTTGTATCATATCATCAGTAATTTTCTGCTTAGTGATTTGTTCCCCAAGTGGCCTCCTCAATCATGCTTGCACTGTTGTCTTGTTGTGCAAGTCATTATTGCATATTTTTTCTCTTTTCTGCAATTGATTTAAATCCTCTACATCGTGTAAGTGCTAATATTCCAACGTTCAGATGAAAGCTTCACTGATGTGGTTGGAAGCCCTTATTATGTGGCCCCAGAAGTTTTGCGAAAACATTATGGTCAAGAATGTGATGTTTGGAGTGCCGGGGTTATCATATATATTTTACTGAGTGGGGTTCCACCTTTTTGGGATGGTAAGAATTCCAAAGTCTTTTTCCCTCTTTCTTGTTTTCCTATTCCTTTTTATGATTCTAGAAATCTGGGTGTTCATCTAATTTTATTGCTATGCAATTTGGATCAGAATCGGAGCAGGGAATATTTGAGCAGGTTTTAAAAGGCGACCTTGACTTTGTATCAGAACCATGGCCTAGTATATCTGAGGGTGCAAAAGATCTTGTGAGGAGAATGCTTCTAAGAGACCCCAAAAAGCGGCTGACAGCCCATGAAGTTCTTTGTAAGTGTGCATTTTTCTACAAATCTTTGTTTTTTGGTCTCCAGGCATGGATAGATCCGTATTTAATAGATATGATTTTCTTTTTTTCTTACATGTACTCATTTCAAACCGGTCTGGCAATGCTACTGTATTATGTGACTAAGGACCTACAGATGAAAGGACTTACAGCCTTTAACGAGTTCACCTAACTCCTGCAGTCTTTTGCAAAGTTCCTTGCTTGCTTTCTACTCCATGTGACTCTAATCCTGTTAGACACTCTTGATTCACAATTGCTCCACAGAATTCCTTGCTCCTATCTTTGCATCTTGTGATCCCGTTACATGATGGTCAACCCTGGGTGTGTTTTTTATGACTGAACTGAACTGACCCTAGAAACACTCTTATGATTGAATAATTGATTAACAATTTCATAGGTTGAAAATCATTGTTTTCAATGCAACTCAAAGAACTTCTTTTTCACAAATGTTTCTCCTAAAACTTCACTGAAGCTCATGTGTATCCTTTTAGGAAACACATTTCAATTATTAATATGAAAAACAGAATTAAAAACCTAATTGGACTGAAATTTGTGCGCCCAGCGTTTGGGTGGGTTTTGAGGGGGCCAAACTGCCATCCCTAAGCTTTGATACCATGTAAAGGGATCACTTGTCCTTAAAGCTTAAGCTATCAAGAAATGGGTTTAACAATATATAACAAGCTACCTAACAACATCAACATATTAACTTGAATTCTTCCACTTGAATGGTCGAGATAAACTACTGTATCAAGTATGAGGGTCAATCATGTTACAATTGTCCTGATAGACAGCTCACTTTTATCGGCAAAGGTGAACAATTTAAAATTACAAGGCTTATGGTTTATATCTCATGTCTGTAAGTGATTCTTATGCACCTACACAAACCATATACAATGTAGCTTAGGGACTAAAACATTCTTCTCATAATCTATGTCCATTTGTATGAATACAACATTTCTAAATAAGGAAATAATATTTTATTTGTATGCAAAAATAACAAATCTGTTGGTTTGAACCTTTAGTCGCTCCTAATGGATGTGATTTGGAAAAACTTTCAAGTATGTCACCAATTAGGTTCAATGTCAGGCCAAGAGAAGGCAAAAATCTAGAAAAAAGATGGTAGCTACTTCAAAAGGCGTCCACACAAGCTTTCCTAGGGCCCCAACATTTAAAACACGAATTTTATTCTTGGTAGTGGTGGTGATGGTAGTTGGTGTGTTATTTTTTTTAATAAAAGCAGTGATTTTTGGAAAAATTCTGTAGTAATTTTGTAGATGCTTTTCTTTTTCTTTCTTTAAAAGAAGCAATTTTATATTTGCCTAGAACTCCAAAAAGAACTTTTTGGAAGTTTTGGTTTTCAAAGCAGAGGTTTTATTTATCCAAAATTATTTTAGCAATTTATGTTATGATACACTTTGAAAGTTGCCTTTTTGTTCTACTGAGTGAGTAGATGAATCTACTTCTGCCTCCCCTCTGTTGAAGAAGTTACTAGTTGAACTAATGGCTACGTTCTTTTTCAGGCCACCCTTGGGTCCAGATTGATGGTGTAGCTCCTGATAAACCTCTTGATTCTGCTGTCCTATCTCGTCTGAAGCAATTCTCTGCAATGAACAAACTCAAGAAGATAGCCATCAGGGTAAGTTCTAATCCTTCATGTGGATAAAATATGAGGATACCAGAGGCATGCATTTACAGAAAGGTTTATGTTTAAAATTTCTGTAGGAACCTTGTGCATTGGTGTTAAATGTGATAACTATAAGTTACACAGCTCTCTTAAATTCTTGTGATCAATTCCTGATGCTCCAAAAAAAAAAAAATCTTGCTCAAGAACTATAAAAAAAAAAATCTTGATGCCTTTCTAAGAATTATAAGCCTTTTCATGCTTGACTCATGAGGGGAGTGTTGCTCACATGAGAGGGCATATCGACGACATATCTAAAAAGTAGATAACTTAAGTTGATTTAACAGCTAAGCTTTTAGAGCAGTGGATTTTAATAGTTTCCACAATGTCCTATTTCAAAACAGAAAACCATATATGATATATGTATGTGCTCAGTTATATGCACATGAACATCTGGGATGTTTAGTAATATTCTTAGAAGAAAGTAGTGTAGGACTTAGAACTTGCATTCTTTGCTCAAATTTTTTGTGGATGTTGTATCTTGATGTATAATCTTTGAATTAGTTTTTCTTTTAGTTATTCTCTCCCCCCAACAAAAGAAAGAGTAGTTGGAGAAAAAAAATATTGTTCTTTACTTAGTAATCACTTATCTGTGTTCATTCTTTATAGATCATCGCGGAAAGTTTGTCTGAAGATGAAATCGCAGGATTGAAAGAACTGTTTAAGATGATAGACTCAGACAACAGTGGACAAATCACACTTGAGGAACTGAAAAAGGGCTTGGAAAGAGTAGGCGCAAATCTTAAGGACTCAGAAATTAATGGATTAATGCAAGCAGTAAGTGCAAATTACACTTTACTTTTAGAGCTTTTTTTATCATATAAAGCCACACTTATTATCATAGAGTTTTCACTGTCAAACTATTCTTTCTTGTGTTGGAACCAGTGGAATGTCCTTCAATATTTCCTGGTTGAGTTTCCATTATTGTCAAGAGTCAGCTACTTGACTCTTCATTAGCCATGGTAGCACTGAGATTAGTGGTTTCTGAACTGACCCCAATCCAAGCTTGTTATAGTAAAGAAACCTGAACCTAGCTTTAGTGGATTTCGTTTGGTGCAGTGTTTGGCCAAGCCTGCCTGCCTCTGGTGCAAGAGTTGTTTTCCTTGTAGTGTTAAGATGTTTGAAGCTTAGTTGCACAAAGAGGGGGAGCAAGCATTTAGAACTTAGAAGTTTCTAACATTGTGAGTGCCTATAGGATCATGTATATATTATATATATAAAATATATAATACAAACATTTTTTCAGCTTAGTTGTAATATATGCGTTAAAAATTATTTATCAATATATATATATGCGTTAAAATATGAATAAAAATTAGAGATTGATGTCAACCACAAGTGGTCTTTCTTAAGTATAAATAGATATGATGTAAATTGAAGATACTAGAATAACTTTGTGTTGTTTTTCTGTTGTTTATTTGAGATTTGCAAGTTTGAGAGGTTCTATCTTAGTTGGGAGCAAGCTTCTTCCTTGATAGGAGTGAGTTTCTTGCAAAATTCTTATGTAGGAGCTCGGAACAAGGTTTTTGAGTAAGAAACGTCACTCCTTTGTTACCTGGACTTGGGTACAAGTATCGGTGGGAGTACATGACCAAACATTAGAGCTTTATAAATTTAAGTTTTAGGAGATTGGGATATGTGTCCAAAAAATGGATATGGGTATAGGAACATGCCATGGACACTTTTATATATTGCATATTGTATAATATTCTAATATAAGATATTGTAAATTATGTAGAAATGTACTTGAAATTAAATAAGATTAAGGGAAATTATAGAATTTTTCTCACATTCATGTGAGAAGCTAGAATTTTTGTAACTAGTGAATGTGAGTTTCTTCTTCTTCGAACATCGTAAAAAAATAGAGGATCCAAGTGTCTAAATTGGGTACGGGCGTCAGACACATATCCCACACTCTTACTCTTGTCATATCCGGTGGACACGGGTAATTTGGGAGAAATAGAAGAGTTCATGTAATATAGCATCACTACAGCAGGAGTTTCCTACCACTAAGGTTTGAAGTGTTTTGGAGGCATCCATCCTTGAACCAAGTCTCTGTAGGCATAAATATTTTTTTTTCTATTTGTTTTTTTTATAATAATTTTCTATTGTAGAAGTAAGAAAAAGGTTGTGATCTGGAGCGGTAGCAAATTCTATGCACTCCCAGCACTGTGGCATGAGTCCAACCATGAAATTCAACTTCTCCACAAAAATTGGGGGAAGGCAGGGCATGACTTACTGTACGAGCAAAAAGCCTACTTTTGATAGAAACTTTCACGTTCAAATTCTCAACAAGTCCGGTGCATGTCCAATGGTTCTGCCACTGTGTTGTGTCCTTTTTGTGTTTGAGCTATGCTCGTGTGTTTCCAGTTGTTTTAAAGATTTACACTGAAAACCGGTCATCTAAGAAGCACGTACACTTCTACGAAGGTGGAGTGTGTGTCAGACACTGACAGTCATTGAAAACTTTCTGATACGTGTTGGAGACTCGTCCATATGGGTCCCTATTAATAATCTTTTTAGATCCCAAGCACACTTCTGATCTTGGGGACACAAGTGTCCATCAAATACACATGAAACATATTATAAGTTCATACAAAATACCTTAGGATACAATATTAAAAGGAAAACAATATAGATTTATACATATTAATTTTTCATCTTTCAAACTCTAGGAATTAGTGTTATGTTGCATGATTTTGTCATCTTTGTATGAAATTTTTATGTGTGAACATATAATAATGAACATATAAAACTATATCTTTCATGTGTGTCCCTACGTGCTGTGTCTTACATTTTTATTTTTTTAAATTGTTGGGTCAATGTGTCCATGTTGTGTCTGTATCCATGTCCATCACTTATTCCTATGCATGTGCTATTGTGTGAAATTTTATGAATTTATGACAATGCTGCTGGGGCTAGCAAGGCATTTATACTTAACTGGCATGAGTACGGTGTTCAACCAAAATCAATTTACAAGAACAATAATTACGAATTGATAACATTTCTACATTAACGCAATTTCTCTCTTACACAATCTTATTATCTAACAGAACTCTGCAATTTTTTAGTGATAATGCTAAATCTTTCTTTGTTGAATGAAATTTCTTAGCTCAGTGCTGCCAGTGCCTTAGCTTGCTCGCTGGCTACTTGTGACATTGGATCTTCATTTATATCTCATTATTTTGACCATTTTGTTATGGACATTGCAGGCAGATGTTGACAACAGTGGTACTATAGACTATGGCGAGTTCATAGCTGCAATGCTCCATCTGAATAAAATCCAGAAGGAGGATCATCTATTTGCAGCTTTCTCATATTTTGACAAAGATGGAAGTGGGTACATTACTCAAGATGAGCTCCAACAGGCCTGTGAGCAGTTTGGTTTGGGAGATGTTCACTTAGAAGAAATTATCAGTGAAGTTGATCAGGATAATGTAAATTGCTTCCCTGCCAAAACCCATACTAATTTTTTTTTTTTAATATCATATAAACTATTTTGATAAGAAGAGCATTGATCTTAATACTGTGGGACATATTCTGATGGTTTTTCAGGATGGGCGTATTGATTACAATGAATTTGTGGCGATGATGCAAGACACCAGTTTTGGGATGAAGGGTTTGCAGAACAGCGGGAGCATTGGATTGAGGGAAGCCTTCAAGCTTGGTTAATCCTTGATCCTGGTAATTCCCACATCACCACATTCAAAGTTTTGTAATTCTGTCTAATTTTTCTTTTTGATTCTCCGATGAATTGGAAGTGCAAGCATACCTTTGTAAAGATCAGTCAGGCTTCAAGGATGGAAAGCGAGTGCTCTTATCTCGTTTTGAATTTTTTGCATTTTGTATTTCTATTCAGGTTTCAATTCATTACTTGAATTAGGTCTTTTCATTTTGTTTTTTGGAAATCCTGGACAACACTGTTCATAACATTCCATATCTTTAGTTGATATTTTTACTTTTTTGAAATACCCAGCAGCTTTAAGAGTATTTTGGTACTTTATATCACAGGGGAAGCATATGAGGTCTAATAATGATATGATTTCTTTCTCCCACATAGATAGTTGATGTAAAAAAAAAAGAAAAAATTCGTATCTAATGATTTGGTTTGAGATAATTTGATTGTGGAATTTGTTGTGGTGTCATCTGACTATTAACTTGATTTAGACAAAAGTTTCTTTCATGATTAGTTTCGGTTATGGTGCATTTCAGTGGTATATTATGACCTTTTTGTAAACAATATGAAACAATATCAAATCCTAACAAAAATGCATGACAACTTTTTAAAGTCATATATTTAGCTTTATTATGTTAATGTGATAAAAAACACTTTCTACTATTGCACTGTTCTCTCTCTCTCTCTGCGCTTCTGCACTGATGGTATCCTTCCTGTTGTTTGAAGAACCATCTCCTCGCTGATTGATCTTTAGTGTTTTTTTGGGACTTGTTGAGGCCTTTTACAGTTTTCCATGCATTGGACTTTCATAATCCTATCTTTCTTTTCTTTTCTTTTCTTTTCAACAAAAGAGTATGTGTTTTAAACTGTGCAATAATACAGATGAATGTGTTGTTTATACAATTGAACAGTTTATGAACAAATGCATTGTATTGAAGTTGGTATATACTATAGAGCACACCAATAATGCTAATTATCACATCAACACCTTTGTTGAGCACCACTAATATCCAATAATTTGTTGTGGATATATCCCATTAGGTAGTAAAGCAAAATATGAACAATTTAAAATTTTGTACAATAGGGATTAGACTAATCAATGTGAATTTTTGCAAATTAGGTTGGTTCTACATTTGATCGGTTCATTTTTGCCGGTAGAAATTAGGAATTGACTATACAATTTTGAGTTCAGTTTAGTTCATTTATTCGAGTCGTGACATTGATTAACGATTTTTTTATCATCTATTTTTTGGACATATGTTAAAAAGTTATATACAATCTTTATAATTTTTTTAATTTGTGCCTTTATTATTAAGGAAACAGGTTTTGTCTAGTTGGGCAACTAAAAAGGTGTTATTGGGCAAAGCGGTTTCACTTTAGTAATTTTAACCGTTCACCTTATAGCGTTTATTGAGTAAATGAATAAATCATACATGAAAATATTTAGATTGATATGATATTATGATCAAATTATATTTGATTTTAAAAAATAGACAAATATTATTTTGAGAACAAATTATTTATTTTTAGGGTAAATGTGGTTTAATTATGTGATTAATGATTTATATTTATGATAACACCTCTCTTGTTTACATGTTTGTTTGGTGAGTGACTTGTAGGGTTGTTTATTTTATGGTTTGGTTCCAAAAATTTTATAATCAAATCAAACTATAAAACATATTAAACTAATCCAAAAATTGATTGTGTGGTTGTTTGAGATGTGTTATATAAATGGATTTTTTGACTTTTTAGTTAAAAAAGTAGAGAAAAAAAGATGTATTCTTGGGAAAACTTTTTGTCTTTTACGAAAAGATGTGTAATAAAATATTGTAGTAAAATTAAAATGACCATTCTACTCTTGTTGACTTTTTGATTTTTGGGTAGTTGAATTCAAAAGACAAAATAATAATTTTGTCCTCTAGGCTTAACCTACAAGTTTCCTTCAAATAGTATAGATTTTTTAATTTCTTTTAATAGTTTTTTTACTTTTGTAAATCATTCCAAACAAGCACTAAAGGTAATTCAGTTACAGCTTGGAAACCCAGTTCAAAACTAAAAAAACTTGACGCATAAGTCAACTTGCCAATCACAAAAACGGATTGAAGTTTCGTTTGGAAAGTGAGTTAATTTTTTAGATTTTTAGCTATTTTAACTTGGATTAAAAGTCTCGTTTGGATTGAGTTTTTTTAACTATTTTTAATTTTTATAAAAAAAAATATAATTATAATTTAATTATAATATTTTATTTTATTAACTTTTTAATATATTTTATCTTTTTATGCTTCTTTAACTAAAAAAAACCTCCCAACTTTTCATGCCAAACTAGAGCTGAAAGGTCAAGCAACCAATATGTGACACTAATACAAGAAGTTCAATGTTCAAATACCAAGAAAATGGAATGATATAGTAGTATTAGGTGTATGTTGCTAAAAAATATCTAACATGTATGATGTACAATAGGTGGTATTTGGGAAGAAAATTTTTTGCTTTTTTTTTTTATTATTTTTTTTTCACTAAAAGATAAATTAGTTACAAAACCAAAAAAAATTTAATCCAAACAAATTATCACATCAAACCCCATAATCATTTCACTTTTTCTCTCACAAACGTCACATCCAACTACAAAAAAACTCAACTATTTTCCCAATTACAAATTTTTTTTTCTCCAATAATATCCTACAACTAAAAAAACCTATGAAGAAATCCACTTTCCAAACACCCACATCGTCTCGTTTGGAGTTTGATTTTTTTATGTAATTTTTGTTTTCAAATATTTTTCGTAAAAGAAAAAAATTTGATTATGTTTGAAAATAAATCCTTTTCAATTATACTAAATGATATAAATAACTCATATGTAAGGCTTTTTTTTTAATTAACTTTTTTTTTTAGTTTTTAATTTACATTTTGATCTTTTTAATCAAAAAGTCAACCAAGGTCTATATATAAGCCTATTTTGAGAAGTACGTTAAAAGTCACTCCTTAACTTTTAATCCACTTTCTCTTTCACAAAAAAAAAAAAAAAAAATATCAAAAAAAAATTTAAAACTACCTTTTCAAAACACTCTATAACTTTATTCGATTCTATAAAATGTTAGATAAAATCCATGAACCGAATGCTAAATCATACAATTTGGTTGAATTTGGGCTAATCTGTGAAGTTTGCTATTTTTTTCTCAGCCTTGGGCTTAAGCTGCGATATATATTTGGATAAAACTACTTTTGGCAACGAATTTGGCCATGAATTTATATTTGCCTAGTATGGTTTTTTTTTTTAAAAAAAAAAAAAGTGAGTGAGTCCCACGTAAGGATGCAATTCAGGCATATTATGGCTTCATTTGGGAACAAGTTTTTATAGTATCTTTTTGATTTTTTAACTAAAATATAATATAAAAAAATTAATATGTTTAGGATAACTTTTTAGTTTTTTACAAAAATATGTGTAAAAAGTAGAGAGAAAAGCAAATATTTAATTTTTTGGTATAAATTGTTAGCTTTTTAATTGTTTTAATAATTTTGACTTTTTAGCTAAAATCATCATTTGCCAAATGAGGCCTAAGAGATTGTTGAAACCCAACTCAAATTGCTGAGAGCAGGGTCGACCCTCAGATTTTTGAGATCCAAGGTAGAGTCTTAAAATTGGACTCATTTATATATATAGCCAGACCGTGAAAGTATATCACAAAATTTACTTCAAAATAGATTATATAGTATAAATTTAAAATTAATGTAATGTGAGCTTTGCCTAGAATGAATAAGATCTATAAATATGTATATATATATATATATTTTTATTTAGGAATAGTTTGGGAAGTTGGTTTTGGTGGGTTAGGGGCTAAAATAGCCACAAAAAACAAAATAAGCTATTTTAGCCACAAAAAATAAAACATCAAATCTAACCATAATTATTATACTCCTCTTTCACAAAAAAAGTCAAAAAGCCAAAAAGTCCTTCCCAAACCAGGCTTTTTAGCCCCAGGCTAAAATAGCCAAAAAGCCAAAAAATCAAAAAGCCAACCCACTTCCCAAACGGAGGCTTAGTCTTTAAAAGAGAATTTTTTTTTAATCAAATTTTGAATTCATTAAATTTGAATTTGATGAAAATTTAAAAAGATATTGAAGATAAATTTTGAAGAAAATTTTTAGAAAGATTTTCTAGAAAATTTGATGAAAGAGTTGGAGTAATTCATATTAAATCAAGTTTTTTACTCAAATTTATAATCAAATTAAATCAAAAAAAAAAAAAAGAAGAGTTGGAGATGTTCTAAAAACCTTCAATTAAAGCTTCGTTTGGAAAGAACTAATTTAACTTGGCTAAATTAGCTCTGTATGATAAGAACTTTTTTTTTTGGGTTTGGATGTGATAATTGTGAAAAAAAAAAAAATAATAATTATGATTTAAATGTGACATTTTATTTTATTAACTTATTTAACATATTTTTTCTTTTTGTATTATTTAATCCTTACTAAGTTGCCAAACAACAACTTAGATTGTGAAGTTACATGAATTACTTTGAACATTTATTTTAAAACTTGCTAACATGATGAAAGTTAAAATTAACTAGGACTTTTAAAATTTGCCAAAATTTGGAGGCCCAAGATGGCTGCCTTGCTCACCTTGGGTCAGGGCTTGCTCTGGCCGAGAGTTGCCCAGATTTGACCAAATTTAATTAGTACTTTTAAATTTTTATCTAAATTTGTGTCATTTTAAAAAATATTTTATTCAAATCTAAAAAAATATTAAACTGGACTTAAATTACACAGATTAATTCTGTCACCATGCCTTTTTGTGGTCTCTAGAAGACTTATACATTTTTAATTTTATAGGAACCATTATTGAATTGAGAATTATGTCACTTTAGACCCAAAAATTATATTTACTTTTTAAACTCAATAATGTAACAGTTTAATAAATATATAAGATAATTTTCTTTCTTTATATTTTTTTTAATTATCAACTAATTATCTCAATTTTTTTTGCCATACTATAGATTGTTAATAGATTAATAAGTTAGATTACAATGAAAGGATCATAGTCCATTGACTTGAATCTTAAACTTCTGACTTTTACTGTTCTAAAAAACTTCACGTACCACTGAGCTTATTATCCTTTGGTCTAATTAATCATTTCACTTACTTATCATTGAATCTAAGAAAATTTTTGAGCATAAAATAGGACAATTTATAAGGGGCTATTTAGATAAGTGTGTTTATTTGAGTCACATCACTTTTCTACTTTTTTACATATCTTTTCATAAAAATTCAAAAAATATATTTATTTAGATTATTCCAAATACCCTTTAAGTCAGAGATTAATGATTCATCCACAA